AATATTCTCATGCCTTTTCCTTTTCTTTTTGAAAATAGTAATCAAACTCATCAATAAGCTGCTGAGGACTTAAATCCTAAACATCTCTAGCCAGAAGCTAAGGGGAGTATATTCATTTCTGGTTGCAAGCAACAGAAATGAACTTTCTGGAATTAAATGATAACGTAAGTAAAAAGAGAATATTCTGGAAAGCTATGGTGCGGCTCACAATACTGAAGGCAAGACTAGGGAACCAAGCTTGGAAAGACAGAAACGAGGAGACTCCAAAAGATCTTACTGTCAATTGAGCCCAGGCCCCATGGCTGGAAGAGCTGAACTTTGACTGTTCCTCTACCTTAGGTTTACTCTACTCAAGACCAAAGTTCTGATAGAGAAAGAAACCAACACACTAAGTTTTGGTCCTATCCTGCCTCTTGCTATACCTAGGCTGTGAAAGAGAGATCTTAGGAAATGAGCTTCTAGAGTTTCCTTCAGCTGCCATGATGGGACAGAAGGCCCTGAGACTTATCTACCCATCACAACTGCACACAAAGGAACGCAGTAAATTCCCCTAAAGGAAATCAAAGTGCTATTAGGAAAAGGCAATGTATACTGAGTAGCAAAACATAACAAATGTCCTTCCCGGGAATGTTAAAGTCAATTATCTTCTTTTACAATTAAGGAAGCCGAGATCGAGAAAGTTTAAATAACTCAAAGGTCAAAGAGCAAGTTAGAGGAAGAGACAGAATATTCTATATCCTTACTACCGGAAGTGTGTGGTCTATGGAGCTCAGCTGGGGGCTGGTGAGGAATGCAAACTTGCAGGCCCCACCCCAAACCTACTGAGTCAGAATCTGCATTTTAACAAGATGCTGGGGTAATTCACATGGACACTAAAGTCTGAGAAGCACTGCTCTATTTTTGTAGGTCTCTACTTCTGTGTCATCCAATGGAAACTGAACCCAGGTGTTTCTCACATGACTTTGACTGCTGATGGTCTTTCCTCAACTCATAGAAAAAAAATGACATAAATGTTTCGTCATCATGTTCTAACCCTTATAGCCTGTCCCTGTGTTCTAGTTAGCACACTCAGAGAGCAGCTTATGTGATCACCAGAAATGTAACAATAGGGTGCACTTAAGCCAAATTCCAACACAATGATAGGAGGACTTCTTCAAATCAGGACTTCATATAGGCAATGTTGAGGATGACCAGTCCCAACTGTGAAATCAGAACCAAAACTATAATGATAAGAATTGCTCCATGGTATTTGGGTGCAAGAAATATCACATTTCTTTATTGTTTTAAATCAAATTAAACAGTCCCACCTGGTGAGCAGGAAATCTAGGTGCAATTATTTAGGACACCCTCTCCATCTTTATCTTGGTTGAAGCAGAACCTGGAGGCTTATATAGTTCTACAAAAACACAAATTAAAAATTTCAAGAGAAAAGGGGGTAGGAGGGGGAGGGGGGAGAAATGGCTCTTTGTCCTCCAGATGGCCCTGGCCACTGACTTTACTTTTTCTCAGGCCACTGCTCTAGGAGGGCTGCAGCCATACACAATATCTGCAGACCTTCTCTGTCTGTCAGCAATCTGGAGAAATCATCCTTCCCCTACTCCAGACTGAGGTGTCATGCTTCATTTTGTATGGTGCAAGTGTGTTTTTGATAGTGAGATTCTATTGCATACATATAATACAGGCATGGTTTCTGCTAGCAATATTGTTCCTTGTTTGCCTGCTGGAGTGAAATATATCACCATTTTATGGTGCTCCATAAAGAGTATGGTGTAAGCAAAGAACACCAGCTTGTTCAGATGATGTCACCCAGACTACTTTGAGGGCCGCTGATCTTGGCTGCCTGCAATATATAGATAGCCTTTGCTGCTATTAAGCTTTGTAACTCAAGCACTCCTGCAACTTCACATCTACGCCAATTCTTCTTAATGTTAAACCTATAATGTGTTGCTCCTCCAGTTCCTTATCACCTCTTTCCCACTATTGCATATTCTCTACCACGTAACATGATGGGATTATGGTAAAGACTTCATGGCTCACTCAGGTTATTTGAGAAACTTAGGAAAGGGTTTCCTTAATGAATGACTAGTGTTATTAAGACTGTAGATCCACTACACAGAAGGCAGTTCCATCTCTCTGCGTGTGTGTGTATATATGTGTGTGTATTTGGGATGAAAAAAAGGATATAGATGTTAAATTCCATGGTGTGATTTTAAGCATGAGCCATACTTACACACTATCGGATGCCTAGACTATCTTTTACACACTATCAGATGCCTGGACTATCTTAACTAGAAAACTTTTTCATGCCGTAATTAGGAATAAGATTTTAATTATAAGTAATCCTGTAATTATAATTAATTATAATTATTATATATTGATATAATAATTACATAATTATATTTATAAGTAATTATAAAGAATAAAGAAGCAGCCATTAAGCCTAGGATTCAGATTAGGAGAGGGGATACTTCAGGTACATAATGTCAGGGAAGAGTGAGCCTTGAAAATACAGAAAAGGAAAGTGGACACACCAAGAACACATTCATCATTTTCACAATTCTGCCAACATCCTATACTAAGTGACAGTCCCTTTATTGCATACCGAAAGGCCCTTAAATATCGACATTACCAGTTTCCTTTATTCCTTCTAGATCAGGAATTTTAGAACCAGCGGTCAATCTGATAATCATTCCAGTAAACTTACAGATCAAAAGATCTTCCAGAATTTTCAGGTTCTAATTGACCCAGTAAACATGGTGAGCATAAGAGAGCTCTCTAGAACACGTTCTACAGCAACTAGAGTAGAAGAAGAAGATAACTGGATTCCCATATATACCTGATTGTATTCTTTGACTAATCAAAGCAACAAACACTGAGTTGTATACAATTCCAAGAGATATGTAGCAGGGCTTTACCTTCAAGGAGATTTTACTTTATTTGAGTAAATAGGTCATGTGCATAGAAAGAAAACAAACAACACACAATGGTTTTCAGTAAGTACAAAATGAACTGAACAATTTCAGTGAAGTTCAGAAGAGAGAGGAAGGGGTAGAGAAGTTATCAACATTAGCCAGAGTGATTTAGGAAAGTTTCATGGAGGCTTGAGAATTTCAACTTGACCTCGAGCAAGGATTCTTAATTTAAGGTCAATGTTCTCCTAAGGAGTACATGAATGGAGTTTTGGGTCTCAATGAACCCTCTAGAGATACGTTTTTGTGGGATAAAGTTAATGGCCTTCATCAGATTCTCGAATGGATAACTGAAAACTTTACAAACCATTGCTTTGCAAGAAATTGCATAAGTAGTGAGAAATAAAGGCAGCATCCTAATTAGAGGAAGAAGTAAACAAGAGAATGATGAGAAAATGAACAAGCCATGTTTAAGTGGAAAATATGCAGTATCAGTCTGGTTTTAGAATTGGACCCACGTTCATACAGAAATTTCAGGAGATGAGCTTGGAAAGCAGATTGGAACTGGTGCTAAAGTCAAATCCTTGACTATCAGGATTATCCCATGGGCTATGTTCAGGTGAAGGCTCATAGAGTTTAGGATGATTAATCTGACCACTTTGAGCAGGATGAGGTAGAAGTTGCTGAGCCATGGCTATAGCCATGAAATGAATGAGAAGGATTCTAAAGCACTGAGAGAAGAACTGATAAAATTTAGTAACTTTGAAGTATAGGAAGAGAGAGGAAAGAACTAAGGATGACTCAAAGCCTCAAGTCTGAGTGCCTGGAGGAAGACTCACTTGTAGAAATAGAAACAGTGGATAGAAAGCTGGTTTCTCAGAGAAAGGTAGAGGCTTTTACTTCCAACAGGTAGATTTTGAGATGCTATCCCAGGAATAACTGAGCGCCCCTTTATCAATGTTGCCAAACATTCACATACCCAAATATATGATCAGAGACATCTCTAATAGTATTCTTCCAGCCCTGTGCCCTCTATACCAGACAACAGATTTGGTCTGACTTCTTGGGGTACTCTGGACCGTTAACTTAGGCTGTATTATTTTTGGTTTTTATTAGCAATCTTTCCTGAAGCATTTTCTCCAAATGACGTTACCACAGTGTGATTAGGAGACATGCAAGGACATAAACATTCCAGTAAGATAAAAGCAGCCCTGCTTTCCCAGTAGTCTCACAGCACTTCAACTTCATTAGGTTCCATGTTTCATTAGAGTCAATGCCATTTAAGTTTTTATGTTCATTTCAAGGCTATTTGTTTTGACAAAGGATTTTAAGAAAATGCAGTTGGAACTTTCTGGGTTTTATTTAACTTTATAACCATCTAATTTACTCACCAATAAAGGGATAACTAAGCATTCCTTTTATGCTTCTAAAAACCTCTTTGCATAATTTTGAAATATAATGCAAGATTCTGCAAGTAGGAAATTCATGCCAAGGAAATGCTGATACAAGCTATCTAGTGTTTGGTGCCAGGGGTTAGGGACTTAGGAATGCCTCTTTTCATTAGCACACACACCCCCTATAGGACCTGAAGACACTTCCTCTATCATTATATTGCTGCTTTTCTAAATAAGTGTATCTCTGACCCTGATGCTTACAGGGATAGATGAAACCCAGCAGGGAGTTCGCCAAAGCCTAGGAGTGTCAACAGACAGGAAATAATAGTAACTAAGAAGAACCAGGATGATTTGTGCAGAAATGTGAAGATTTTACAGATAGGTTGTTCATCTCTCCCCAAGATGACACTCCAGTTGATCCAGACAGATCGTCTAATGTGCCCCTTCATGAATCAAGCCACTGCTCAACTCTTCAGTTTTGTTCAATGTTCTCCACTGCTGGGTAGGACTTCCCTCTTATCTATCTAAATACAGCTGATCTTTCAAAATCCAGCTTATATCCTGCCTCTTGCTTGAACCTTTTCTTTAGGTTTATTTGAGGATTCTAGATCATTGACTTCTCCCAATCACCCAACCAACAAATGCTTTTGAGCACCTACTATTTGCAGGCATGAGAATCCAGTTGTACTTACTCTTTATTTTCTCCTTTGATTATTTGAGTATATTAATCTCATCACTCTCATACAGGTGATCACTTCACTTCCTTTATATTTCCCATGATGCCACACCAATTCCCAGGCAGAGTATCAATTAAAGCCCATATGTGAGCATGTGCCTAGTGTGTTCTAAAGAAAAAAGAAAAGAAAGAAACAAAGAAAAATTGGGGGAAATCCAGAACTAACTGTCTTTTCAGCACAATTAGAAAGGAACCTAAAATAATGAAAATGTGAGGCTTTTTAAATTTAAGCAGAAGAAAAAATAAGCCCATTGGAAAGTACTTCTAATGTGATAAGCTGAGGAATGTACTTGAATTGCTTTGTAAAGTACAGGAAGGGAACAGAACTAATTCCCACTTGGATCTCAGTGACTAGTCCTGAGAGGGCTGTGTGGTGCTGCATGCAGGCTGCCCTCGGACGTGGGCAGCAGCTCGTTCACCTCATCCATGACAACAGCCAATATGTGCTTCCAGAAATGGCCCTAGAATTTACATACTCTGAAACTCATGTCTAGTAAATTTCTCCTCATGTCACCCTCCAAGCATACAATTTGAACTCCCTGGAAAAAAATAGCATCATAAGCAAAAGAAAATACAAAGTCATTATCTTTAGAATAAGAAGGTATTTTTGAGACAGGAGCAATGTGTGTTAGTACATCCTCATATTTAGTTTTTTTCCTCTAATTACGAAGTCAGTGCCACTATACTGTCTTTTCCCAATGCAGACAAGGGTCTCTTTTTTATTTCATGGTTCCCAAGTAACTCATATGACCCTATAGGAAGCAATAAATACTTACCCACCCGAACTGCTAGCTTTTCACCAAACATCTGGCAAGTTTTGTGGGCCTCTTAACTATTGAATTTCCATATCAAATACATTTTATATTTAAATCTTTTATTTATAATACTTTTGAGTAAATCCAAACCAACAAAATATATCTCTGAGGCAGGGAGTTTAGCAGATGAATACAATTTCTTAATTTTTATAACTTTCATAGCATGGCTTTTATAATGCAAGGGGAAAAAAAGCAGAGCAATTAAAAATGTTGTCTATGGACCCAGAAGTAAGAAAAAAAAAGAAAAACCATCATTTAAGTAGCCACTGAAGAAACATCCGCTCAAATATACGATTTATCCTTCTCCCAGAACAGAAAGAAAAAGATATGAGTGTGCCTTTATATGAGAGGCATCTCTGCAAAGTGATTCCTGAGAAGCTTACCTTTGGTTTCAGTTCTAAGAAAGCCATAGAAGTTTCAATGATAAGTCGCAGACACTGGGGAAAATGTTATCAACACACACTCCTGTGGGCTCTAAAATTATATAGTCCTGGAGTTGAATATCAACTTTGTCAAGTGTTAATAAAATGAACCCACTTAATGATAGCCTGAAGGTCTATGTGACAGTGGGAAAGTTTCATAGCCTCTCTGAGCTTCATTTACATAATGAAGATACAAATCACAACCTCTCAGTACTGTTGTAAGAATTAAACAAGATCATATGTGACCTCTGGTACAGTGTCTGGCTGACTGGCAAACAGTAGAAGTTCAATAAATGTTGGTTGTTCCTCCCTCCATCTTGAGACCCCTCCTTCCATCCCATGGACCTAACCTGTTTAGAAATTGGGGGTGCCATTCAGATCCATCCTAAAATAACATTTACTAAAAGCATCTTTGAAAACAGGTCTTCATGGCCGGGCACGGCAGCTCATGCCTGTAATCCCAGCCCTTTGGGAGGCTGAGAAGGGCAGATCACGAGGTCAGAAGATCAAGACCATCCTGGCTAAAACAGTGAAACTCCGTCTCTACTAAAAAAAATACCAAAAAAATTAGCCGGGCCTGGCGGCGGGCGCCTATAATCCCAGCTACTGGGAAGGTTGAGGCAGGAGAATGGCATGAACCCAGGAGGTGGAGCTTGCAGTGAGCCGAGATTGAGTGGAGTGAGTCACTGCACTCCAGCCTGGGCGACAGAGCAAGACTCTGTCTCAAAAAAAAAAAAAGAAAGAAAGAAAGTAGCTCTTCATATCAGTTTGTCCATCTATAAAAATGAAAATGATATTACTTTCGTTATCTACCTTATAGCTGCTTTAAAAACTATATAGGGCTGGAAAAATATGTCAGTGGAAGGAGAAAAATCCTGGGCTGATCTTCAGAAGACTGGGTTCTAGTCATGTAATGCTGGTCAAGGAACTCAGCTTCACAGTCCTCATTTTCCTTGCATTTAACATACAGATAATGATACTGTATTACCTATATAGGGTGTAATTACATATTATATAGGGTGGTGGTGAACACTTCTTCTTCATTCTGTTTCTTGATCTTCACACCTATGAACCCCAGAAGAGGTTTGGCTCATAGTAACACAACTATTATTTAAACCTAGGTTTTACACCATGTCTGAAATCCGAAAGTCTTGTTTTTCCCAATTCTAGATGTTGACATTGAGAGGTAGCAAGTAAGTTCTTTGAAGGCAGGGGCTATGCCTTTCTCCCATAAGAACTGCGCTCCTACCATAAAAAGGAATGAGATCATGTCCTTTGCATGGACATGGATGGAACTTGAGGCCATTATCCTTAGCAAACTGATGCCAGAACAGAAAACCAAATACCACATGTTCTCACTTACAAGTGGGAGCTGAATAATACATGGACACATCGTGGGGAACAACACACACTGGGGTCTGTCAGAGGGTAAAAGTGGGAGGGGAGACAAGATCAGGAAGAATAGCTAATGGATGCTGGGCTTAATACCTGGGTGACGGGATGATCTATGCAGCAAACCACCATGATACACATTTACCTATGTAACAAACCTGCACATCCTGCACATGTACCTCTGAACTTAAAATAAAAGTTTGAAATTTTTTTAAAAGGAGCTGTACTCCTACCTCAGCAAGAATCTATATTTTACCTTGTACATCAAATGCCAATATGTGTACATCAAATACCAGTGTGTTCATCAAATTTATTTTGATGTGTTCTCATTTTATATATTTATAAATGAATACTCACGCAATTTAGCACAATGAAGCAGTGTAGCCTATTAGCTGAAGTATGGACTTTAAACCCAGAGCAGCTAAATAATCATGCCTCTGCTACTTGTTGTCTGTGTGTCTGAGAAAAAGACTGCATCTCTCTAAACATTGGTTTCTCCATCTATCACATGGGGAAAAAAACTAGACCTATGTTACAAGGTATAAGAGAAAATAAATGAGATGCTGAATGCCTGTAAAGAAGTCATGCTAGATGTGTTGGCTCACCCTTGTAAGCCCAGCACTTCTGGAGGCCAAGGAGGGCAGATCACTTGAGGTCAGGAGTTCAAGACCAGCCTGGCCAACATGGTGAAATCCTATCTCGACTAAAAAAATATATATACAAAAATTAGCTGGATGTGGTGGCATGTGCCTGTTAATTCCAGCTATTCAAGAGGTTGAGGCATGAGAATCGCTTGAACCTGGGAGGCCGAGGTTGCAGTGAACCAAGGTAGCACCACTGTACTCCAGCCTAAGTGATACAGTGAGATTCTGTCTCAAAAAAAGAAAAGAGAGAGAGAGAGAGAGAGGAGAAGAAGAAAGAAGAAGAAGGCGGCATTTTGTATCTTCAGAATCTATCCAAGAAGTGGGCAGAAACAGAGATCCCAAATAGAAGGTAAGAAGGAAGTGGAAGTTTGGGCACCTAGGGAGCTCTTAAAAAGTCCAAAGTCACCAAGAGAGGTAGCAGAGAAAGTTTAAAAGACTCTGGAGAGGGAACAAAGTTCCCTCTTTCCTATGTTCAATCCTACTCCCAGTGTTTCTGTTTTAAAGAAATGAGCTAAAGGACCAGGTTAAGAAAAGGAAATATTCATTGAGGTAGAACATTACCCCTGAAGACGGAGAAAAGATTGCTTTTCTCACCCATCCCTAGGTTCATGGCTGAGGCTCCATAACAAAAGACAATAGAAAAGCATACAAATTTATATAATACAAGTTTTACATGATATAGTAACCTTCAGCAACAAAGACACAAAGAATCAGGGAAACCTGTGTATTCTTATGCCAAGGTTGATGAAGAAGTGGACAGTTGTAGAGACATTTGATTAGACAAGTGCAGTATGATCTAGGGGAACTTAGCCAAGCCAGTTTGTTCAGATTCTTCTGTGTTCCTGCGGTTTCAAAGTTAAGGATATTCCTTTCCTGAGTATAGGGTAGGCACTTCTCACATGAGGGTCTTAAGAACTACTTTAGAGGAAGATCAGAGAATTCTTGCAGGGCCTGCTTCAGGAGAGAAGAGCAGGAGAAAGTCAAAGAGCTCTTCTTTCTTCTGCTGTTTCCTCAACTGCCAAGGTGCCATATTTTGGGGTAGCATGTCCCGAACCCCATCACTCCAAAACTTGCAGGTTTGCTTCCTTTCTCTTTTCTGCTCTTCTTCTCACTCTTCTAACTTCTGAAAACTCACCATTCTAGTCCTGTTTATAGTTCCCCAGCAAACACACTTGTTTTCATTTTAACCAATACACACACACACACACACACACAATCTCATACTATAACCTCACAAATACACAAAGAGATAGAAGCATGCACACATGTATGTACATCCTTTACTCCTAACCCCTAGCTTCCAAACAGCTCAAGAGACCCACATATGAGTAGTAAGAATTGATGGTATTAATGCTGGTAAAATACAACTGATAGGGCTTCTGGTTAAACTTGACAGATTGAACATGTGTATTTTTCTCCACTTCCTCTCAAATCCCATTAAAATGATGATAATACTCAAATTGTGAAAAAGAATAGATGGGCTGTGGTAAATTACTTGTCAGACCAGAGAAAACTGAAACCTAAACTAGGAGTCAAGGTGGCTTGTGCTGCAGACCCCAGAAAAACTTATGAATTGAAATCACCATGGACTTCTGAAGATTCCCCCTTTAAGGAATAAGAAAGGAGAAGTTTATGCAACAGAGGATGGGGGAGAAACAATGTGAGGAAATAAGTCCATTATACCTTAATAAATCTATTAAAAAGCAACAAAAAAATCCCCACACACATAAAAAAAAATAACTATAAAGGAATTAATTGGAAGTTAGCATCCTAAGGGGTGAGACATCACCCCATCCCCAGTTTCTGGAACTCTAGGTACTAAGCTTATACTTCCAAGCAGAACATGTGAGGATCATGTGCAGAAACTGACCAGCTCAAGAAAAAAAAAATAGTGATGGTGATATTTACGGGTCCTCCAATGAAACAGCTAAGTCTGCATGCCATCATCCATATTTTGGTACAACTCCCTTTCCCTCATTTGCATCTTCCAATCATATTTTTAGCACTTTCCTCTTAAAATGGAAAGGTATTTGAGGGAAACCTCCAACATAAAAGAGAGAGATACAAACAAACCAAAAAGAAAAGAAACTCAAAAGAAAAGAGACAACACAAGAAGCAGAAGAGAATTTCAAATACACTCAAAACATGCTATCTCAAAGATACGAACAAGGAATCTCTGAATGGATAGTAAAATGCCATATAAAGGAATATAATTAGAGAACAAGAAAGATGTGCTAGGAATTAAAATCATAAAGGCATACTTTTTAAATTTATGATATGGTTTGGCTGTGTCCCCACCCAAATCTCTTCTTGAATTGTAGCTGCCATAATTCCCACGTGTTGTGGGAGGGACCCAGTGGAAGATAATTGAATCATAAGGGTAGTTTCCTCCATATTGTTCTCGTGGTAGTGAATAAGTCTCTTAAGATCTGATATTTTATAAGAGGAACCCCTTTTGCTTGGCTTTCATTGTCTCTTGCCACCATGATGTGAGACATGCCTTTCCCCTTCCACCATCATTGTAAGGTCTCCCCAGCCACATGGAACTGTGAGTCCACTAAACCTCTCTTTCTTTTTAAATTATGCAATCTTGGGTATGTCTTTATCAGCAGCATGATAATGAACTAACACAGTAAATTGGTACCAGTAGAGTGGGGTGCTGCTGTAAAGATACCCAAAAGTGTGGAAACGACTTTGGAACTCAGTAACAGGCAGAGACTGGAACTGTTTGGAGGGCTCAGAACAAGATAGGAAAATGTGGGAAAGTTTGGAACTTCCCAAAGACTTGTGGAATGGCTTTGCCCAAAATGCTGATAATGATATGGACAATACAATCCAGGCTGAGGTGGTCTCGGATGGAGATGAGGAACTTGTTAGGAACTGGAGTAAAGGTGACTCTTGCTATGTTTTAGCAAAGACACTGGTGGCATTTTGCCCCGCCCTAGAGATTTGTGGAACTTTGAACTTGAGGGAGATGATTTAGGGTATCTGATGGTGGAAGAAATTTCTAAGCAGCAAAGCAATCAAGAGGTGACCTGGGTGCTATTAAAAGCATTCTGTTTTAAAAGGGAAACAGAACACAAAAGTTTGAAAAATTTGCAGCCTGACAATGTGATAAAAAAGAAAAACCCATTTTCTGAGGAAAAATTCAAGCTGGCTGCAGAAATTTGTGTAAGTTAACAAGGAGCCAAATGTTAATCATCAAAACAACGGGGAAAATGTCTCTAGGGCATGTCAGAGACCTTTGCAGCAGCCCCTCCCATCATAGGCCCTAAGCCTAGGAGGAAAAAATTTTTTCATGGGCCCAGCCAAGGGCCCCCTTCTGTGTGTAGCCTAGGGACTTGGTGCCCTGCATCCCAGCTGCCCTAGCCATGGCTAAAACGGGCCAAGGTATAGCTTGGGCTCTAGCTTCAGAGGTTGCAAGCCCTAAGCCTTGGCAGTTTTCACATGGTATTGAGCCTGAAGGTGCACAGAAGTCAAGAATTGAGATTTGGAAACTCTGCCTAGATTTCAGAGGATGTATGGAAATGTCTGGATGTCCAGGCAGAAGTTTGCTACAGGGGCGGGCTCTCACAGAGAACCTCTGCTAGGGCAATGTGAAAGGGAAATGTGGGGTTGAAGCCCCCACATAGAGTCCCTACTGGGGCACTGCCTAGTGGAGCTGTGAGAAGAGAGTCACCATCCTCCAGACCTCAGAATGGTAGATCCACCGACAGCTTGCACCATGTGTCCGGAAAAGCCTCAGACACTCAATGCCAGCCCGTGTAAGCAGCCAAGAGGAGGGCTGTACCCTACAAATCTACAGGGCCAGGAGCTCCCCAAGACCATGGGAACCCACCTCTTGCATCATTGTAACCTTGATGTGAGACATGGAGTCAAAGGAGATCATTTGGGAGCTTTAAGATTTGACTGCCCTGCTGGATTCTGGACTTGCATGGGGCCTGTAGCCCCTTTGTTTTGGTCAACTTCTCCTATTTGAAATTGCTATATTTACCCCATGCCTGTACCTCCATTGTATCTAGGAAGTAACTAACTTGCTTTTGATTTTACAGGCTGATAGGCAAAAGGGACTTGCCTTGTCTCAGATGATACTTTGGACTGTGGACTTTTGAGTTAATGCTGAAATGAGTTGAGACTTTGGGGTACTGTTGGAAAAGTGTGATTGGTTTTGAAATGTGAGGACAAGAGATTTGGGAGGGGCCAGGGGCAGAATGATATGGTTTGGCTGTGTCCCCTTCCAAATCTCATCTTGAATTGTAGCTCCCATAACTCCCACATGTTGTGGGAGGGACCATGTGGAAGATAATCGAATCATGGTGATTTCCCCCACACTGTTCTCATGGTAACAAATAAGTCTCACAAGATCTGATGGTTCAATAAGGGGATTCTCCTTTCACTTGGTTCTTTCTTTCTTGTCTGGTGCCATGTAAGATGTGCCTTTCACCTTCTGCCATGATTATGAGGCCTCCCCAGCCATGTGGTACTGTGAGTCCATTAAACCTCTTTTTCTTTATAAATTACCCAGTCTTGGGTATGTATTTATCAACAGTATGAAAATGGACTGATACAATTTACTAGATTAGAAGATAAGGTTGAAGAAATATTTCTGAAATTAGAACAAAAAGGCATAGGTAGAAGATAAGAGAGAAAAGAGAAAATAGAGTCAATCCAGAAGATCAAATCCAACTTCAGATTTATGTAAGTTCTAGAAATCAGTACAGAAGGTCAGAGGAAAGAAAACAATCAAAGAAATAACACAAATAATTTTCTGGAACTAAAATACATGAGTCTCCAATTGAAATGGCCTGGTAAATATCCTGTAAAATAAACGAAAAAAAAAGACACAAACCATCCCCATGAAATTCCAGAACAATGGAGATTAGAGAAGATGCTTAAAGCTTCCAGACAAATAAAAAAAGCAGGTAAGAACGGCATCCTATTTCTTAAAAGCAGCAGAAGCTAAAAGAAGATGCCAAAAAATTCTGAGGGAAAATATTCTCCAGCCAAGAATTCTATGCCAGCCAAATCATGAATCAAGTAAGAAGGTCAGATAAAGATATTTCTAGACATGCTCAATCTTTAAAAAAAAAAAAAAATAGAAAATTGCCCATGTATTCTTTTTCAGAAAGCTACAGCAAAATGTGTTCCAGCCAAACAACTGAGAAAACTAGGAAAGAAAGAGACGAGGATCAAGAATAGGGACTCCAACACAGGAAGGAGGTCAAAAGAATCCTAAGATGATAACTGGGCAGCAAACTGAGATAGCAGCTAGTCCACATTTGGGGTAGTTGACTAGAGGCTCCCAGGGAGATGTCTCCTACAGGAATAAAGGAACTGTTCGATTACTTTGTGTGTTTAAATGGAGTAAAATGAGTTTTACAGCTTTAGTGAAATATACAGGAATGAATTATTGATAGATACCTAGAAAACTAAGCAAATGATAAAGGAAGTCAATTAACGATTCCAAGGCAAAAGTTGAGAAAGAAAATAAATGATGTTGTAGAACACTATGTCTCAGCTTCAAATAATATTGACAAAGTCATGATGAACAAAAATAGTGGCTTAGCTATATTGAGAGAAGAAGGAACATTAAGACATTAAGGAAGTGTGTAAAAGGAGTTATTCAGGAGAGCAAAATCATCATCCTTTTATTTTACACAGTTAGCTAAACAGCAAAGAAAAGCAGCTAAGCGTTGAAAGTGGTTCCCTGCCAGAGACAGAATCAGGATGAGCAAGCATGAGACAAGGGACTACTGATTTGTGTAAACTAAGTTAATTAAGATACCAGTAGCAGGAAAGTGGATTAACAGTGGCTTACTACATGAGGATACTTGTTGTTTACTTTTTTAAAAAAATGTACAGAAATAGACGGACTTGGCAGCTCAGTGACATCACTGAGGACTCATCGCTTTCCACCTTTCTGCTCCACCATCCTCAGTGTGTTGCTTTTCAACCTTGCTCACTCAGGGCAGCAAGGTTGCTGCCACAGCTGCAAACATTGTGTTCGCAGGCAGACCACAGGAGACAGATTGCCTGTGACTGAGCAAGAAAGTTGTCTTCATGTAACTCTTCCCTCTCATTAGTGTATCAGTTAGGATTAGTTTTGGTAATGAGTGATACGGACCCAAAATTAGAATGTCTAGAGCAAGGCAAAATCTTGTTCTCACCACTCTGGAGGAGGTAGGTAGTGCAGGGTTGGTGTAAGGTTCTACTTACTCTGTGATCCCTTCAGAGAACAAGGCTCCTTCTCTCTTGTCATTCTAGTAGTCACAGCTTCCTTTCTCAAGGTGACTTCATGGTTCCAGAAGGTTACAGCAGCTCCAGCCAACATGTCAACATTACAGGCAGCAGGATGGAGGAAGGAGGAATAAAAAGGACACTTGAGAGCTTTCTTTTGATGAAATTTCCTGAAAGTTGCCACAAAACACTTTTGCTTATATTCTGCTGGCCAGGATTTAGTCACAAAGCCACAACTAGCTACAAAAGAGGCTGAAAAATGCAGTATTTATTCCTAGTAGCCATATGCACAGATAAAACTTAAAAGTTCTAAAAAAAAAAAAAAGGAAGAACAAAATAACAGATACCTGGCAGTCTTCACCACAATTAGAAAGGAAAATATCTTTCCTGGAAGACCTGAGTAGAATTCCCCTTATATCTTATTAGCCAGAACGGGTCACATGGCCACCCTTGCCTATGAGAGAGGCTGGTGAAGGGTGAAGGGAGACTCTGGATTTTCATCCTCTATAGTAGAAAGGAAGCAACAGAGAAAGGGGTTGAGAATGGCTGCAAATAGCCAAACGAGTGCCTGCCTCACAAATCTTGTAGCACAATTTGACCTTAAAGCTATATACACATAGTACTTTCATGTTTTAACGTATATAAATTTTTAAACGTATATAAATAACAAATAAGTAAATTTGTTTTTATGGGAAAACTTATCAAGATCTGCTGCCACACTCCCTCCATCTTCTTAGTGAATAAATAAAAGAGAAAAGTTATAAGGTCAAAATACATACACACAAATAATAGCAATGGCTATTCATATAGTCTATTTATTTCATGCTTTGCCACATTGATTCTGTCATTTATTCGACAAACATTTATTGAACGCTTGCTATGTACAAAGGCATATAGACATGACTGAGTCTCAGTTCATGCCTTCGAAAAGGTCACAGGTTTGAAGGAGAGAGACATAAAGCCCATTTTTCACAACACGGCATGATAAGCACTAGGTTGGAGGATTGCAGGGGATGACAATTGCAACAACCCAGAGAAGGGCCATTGAAGTTGGCCCAGCAGACAGGGAAGGCTTCCCTGAGGAGATAATTTTTGAGCTGTTTTGAAAGATAGGCAGAAATGTGCCAGGAGATGAAAAGGGCATGGAAAGGACATCAAGCCCACGGAAGAATGAATACAAAGGCATGCATCACATTACAGCTAGGAAGAATGAGCCACATTCTTACTCTGTCTATCACTGATATGAAAAGGTAGGCATGCAATTTACATTTAATAAACATTTGGTAGAGTGAATCAAGAGGAGTAGCAACTCTCTTAATCTACTTCAGCTTAACTAGTACCCTAGATCAGGAGTTGGCAAACTACGGCCCTCAGGCCAAATCCCATCTGCTGCCTGTTTTTGGAAACAAAGTTTTATTGGGATATAACCACACTCATTCATTTACACATTGGCTATGGCTGCTTTTGTGCTATGATGGAAGAGTTGAGTAGTTGGCCATAGAAACTGGAGAGTCTTGCAAAGCCTAAAACATGTACTATGTGGTCCTTTATGGAAAAAGTTTGCTTACCCATATTCTAGATGAGCTGACATCCTTCATTCCCTTTAAAACATACAGCACTCTGAGCTCAAAGCTAACAAGTAATAAATAATAATACATCCTTGCATCTCACCAATCTAGTTGTATTCTTTCCAAGAGTAAATTGTTTGTTACCAAATGTGTTTTGTCAGTTTCACGTGTTAATGTAAATATCTAATAAAATATTGTATATATTAATAAAATGAGTGTGAAAAGGAAGAATGTTTCTATTTTAAAAATTAATAGAATACATTGAAAAATATCCATCACACCATGCTAATAAAAACTATTAGTGAGTCAGATGTGAATGAGACAACGATAATCATAATCATAAAATATTAAGATTTTACCTTGCAAGTGTCTATAACTTTCACTCCACTTTTTTAAAACCTAAAATTAGAAATCAGAGATGATGTATTTAGGGGAGATGTTTATACAAGAAAGACAACACAAAATTATAATTAGCAACACATCCTTAAAGAGGAGTCTTGGCTCTACGTCAACAGACAGGAGTTCCCTAAAAAATTTTAGTTCCCCTAAAAAATCAGATTAAAATTAAACTAAATATTTTAAGTAAGTGAGTGAGTGAGTAAGCAAATAGTATGTAGATAAATATTAATGTATATTTGCTGGATTCTTTTAAAAATGATTTCATGACTTAACCAGGAAAAGACAAAGTAACTGTGTTTGTTTGGGTGAACAGAGACATGAGATTTCAACTCCCAGCATTTTCTGGGGCCCATGTCATTCTGCAAGACTCATCTCTCAACCAACCACTGCCTTGACCCCAAAAGTGGTCCAACCTATGGGCACCCATTTCTGCCCAGTGCCAGCTCCTGAGAAAGTTAGATGAACAGGACTCAGATCTCACATTTCTGGCTCTGGATCAGAAAGGAACAATGAGCTGACACTGGCCCCATTCTGAGCAGAAATTAATTACCTGTGAAAATGTCAACTCATTAAATCCCCAAAGTGCGACATCTAAGCTCTGACAAGCGATCTGGGAAATAAAATGAATAAAATAAAACAGGCCCTCTTCATTACAAATCACACAAATTCAAAGTTCAGAAAACTTTTAATTTGGTGTCTTTGCCCATCACCTCATAGAACCTTGGATCCACCTTTAATCTGGAGCTTCAAACAAATCCCTGCTTCCTTAGGATTCTAAAAATAATTGTGCTCCTTGTGGTACATTAACTCTTTCCAAAAGAATAGCCAATTAGCTCATAAAACAGCTGGTTATTTCCTCAAGATCCTTGATTAAACATTGTTTTTTCAGAGAAGCCTATTTGGTTTTTTTCTAGCTAATTTCCCCTCTGCCCCCAAAGGCTATCCCTTCCAGAGAAATAAAAAATGCTTCTTATTCAGTTTTCCATCCTGGAATCACAGCAGTGATCAGTGTGACATCAGATAGGGCATTAAGGAATCTTGGGCCCCCCAAGAAGCTCCCTAAAGAAGGTCCATGTTCTCCAGGGTCACCCCGGGCTCTTGGCCTCTCCATCGCCACCAAGGACAGAGCTATGCAGGCAGGAGATGCCCCCAAAGCACACGCTGAAGATAAGGAACAAACAATGATGAAAAATCCAGGACCCAGACGCCACATAAACCTGCCCTCCAACTAAGTCAGTTTCCAAATACATCATTCTTCCACTTTCTAAGCCTCTGCCCACATTGTTTGCCCCCACTTCCACTCCCACAATTTCCAATGCAGGTCACATTTCACCTTTACTTCAAAATCTTTCCTCAATACTAGGTGGGGCCCTCTGACATTCTGCCCTGCCTCACCCATCTATCACTATTTGGTATGAACATTTATTGTGATCATTGGCTTAAATTCAATCTAGCACTATTTTCTATTCTGCCTTCTAGATTCCAACTGAACCATGTCACATCTGAGAGCAAGGCCATGCCTTATTCCTCCTTTTTCTCTTCCATCGTATTCAGCAAAACAAAGTATTTTGCAAACATGTTGTCTTTTCCTTCTCACCTACCTACAGTCTTTTCACAGCCCCCAAATAGCAAACAGGTCCTTCAAGTAGAAGCACTACTTGGGCCAATTCCTTAAGTATAGGAACCATATGAATGCAAAGTTTCCAAAATGCTTTGTACTAGGAGTCCATGAATTAACAACTCCAGAATCACATATTCTATGTCATAACATAATTATGTTTGCTTATGTATAGAGGGAACAAAATTGCCCTCTCAAACTCAGGAGTACTTGGCAGTCTGTATGGTGGTATTCACCTTACAGACTGGTATTCATGCCCTTGTACTTCCTCTCTTTGTATATGACCTGTACCTACCAACTTACTTCTAATTAATAGAATGTGGCAGAGCCATGGAATGCCACTTTCAAGATAAGGTTACAAAAAGACTATGCCTCTGTATTCATCTCTCCTTCTCTCTCCCCACACCTTGTCTTTTCTTTTTCCCAATCTATGCCCCTCTCTTCTCTCTCTCTCTCTCTCTCTCTCTCTCTCTCTCTCTCTGTCTCTCTCCCTCTCTCAGCCCTTTCTCTAAGGGAATCAAGTTGCTATGTTGTGAGTAATAGCTCTATGGAGAGGTCCACAGAGCAAGGAAATGAGGTTTCCAGTCAATATCCAAAGAAAACCTGAGGCCTGCCACATGAGTGAGCTTGAAAACAGATCCTCCCCTAGTCAAACTTTGAGATGACTTCAATCCCAGCTGACACCTTGATTGCAATCTTGTGAGAAACCCTGAGCCAGTGGCATCTGACTAAACATTCAGTTTTGTTTCATTTTGTGACAGGATTTTTGTTTTGTTTTGTGACAGGATTTTACTCTGTCACCCAGGTTGGAATGCAGTGGGGCAATATGAGCTCACTGCAATCTCCGCCTTCCAGGCTCAAGCGATCCTCCCACCTCAGCCTCCCTAGTAGCTGGGACTACAGGCACATACCACCACCCCTGGCTGATTTTTGTTGTTGTTGTTGGTGGTGGTGGTGGTGGTGGAGACAAGGTTTCACCATGTAGCCCAGGCTGGTCTCAAACTCCTGAGCTCAAGCAATCCACCCACCTCAGCCTCCCAAATTGCTGGGATTACAGGGTTTGGTATTTTAAGACACCAGATTTTGGGGTAATTTGTTACACAGCAATAAATAACCAATACACCAAGTTTTTCACAAACATTAGATTTTTTTTCTGCAAAACTAAATCTAATGTAGGCCCCCTCCTCTCTATGCCAGATTGGCAAGAAATTATCTTAGTCAATCCTGTAACTCTATATGCATATCTATATCTCCCAGAGTATTGTCAAAGTCTCAGGGTATTTGGGACAGGATATTTGAGGAAGGGCCTTCAGTCCTTGGTTTGTACTGGTTATCACTACTGGGCTCATTGCCCAACTGTGCATGGCCCTTGGAGTTAGCGGGTGAGGAAGCTCCATACATTCCCTGCCAAGCCTCAGCTCTACCACTGGGACTTTTGCTGAGGCTAAAGCCCAGCACCCAAGGCCAGCCTACCCTCTGCAGTTCTCAGTTGGCAATCAGGGATAGGGGCACCAGGCCCCTCATAGCCCTGCATCCCTTCCCAGGCTTCTGAGAATCTCCTTTCTCTGTTAGTTCCAACTATTTTCTTCACATCCCTCCATCCCTGCATATACACACACATGCCCTTAGCACAATCAAAGAGTTTAGGGTTTTGAGAAAAGCCTGAAAGATAGATTATCTTCAAGCTGCTACTGCAACAAGAACAACAATAGCCTTCTCAGAATTCAGGAAAACTTAAAAAAAAAAAAAAAAAAAAAAAAAAAGAAAAAGCTCTCATTCTTTCTGAAGCTTCCATGCCCTCAACACAAAATACACATTAAAGTTTCAATAAATAATCTCACTGCACTTATTTTCCCCACATATTCAAGAAGAGATTTATGCTCCAAGAAGGGTTGCCATGTTTACCCTAAGGTTTGGAATACCTTCCAGCACACTGCAGTGTACCACCACCTACCACCTCCTAACACACACAGCACTGTAAGAAGCTCAATAATGGTGGAATGAGAGACTGTCTAGTAGGAACCTACTTCTTCCAAATCTCCCCTCACTCTATTAAAGAATAGCCCAACCAACAAGCCAAAAGGCAGGCATCATGCAGGCATAAATGGAATAAGCTTCTACTTATTGTGTGTGATTTAAGTTGAAACCAGGGAAGTCTCTCAGACCCAAAATATCTTCCTAGTGGCCTGTAACAATCACTAAACTTCATTTTTAGAGCCTGGCTCATTTGAATTTAAAGCATTGTTACTCCAAAGTTAAATTATCTATTATGCTGTTTTTAGCCAGGAGCACCTTCTTGGAATTTAGCTTATCAGTTCTTTTCTAAGAGTCAGCTTATTGAAAAAAGAGTTTGGGTTCTGCTGTAAGTGGAAGAAGAGGAATAAAGAGGTTTAGAACAGCAGCAGTGAAGGCATCTTGACTGCTCAAGGCAGTCATTGGGAGTGGGATGTGTAGAAAAACGCTCCTCATTACTGTAAATGTGATATGACTATTGGGGTTATGACATTATATTCTGTTGTAGTTACTCCATGGAGACTGATCATTCTATGAAGGCCACCCCTGGAAATAGATATGGCCTCATGGAGGGTCATTGTTAGTGTTCAGTAATAATGGTACAGGCTAATCTATGAGAAGAAACCAGAAATGAAAGATCTAGACATCAGAGTCTAAATGCCTGGGTGGCATCCATAGGTGGTATGTACAAAGATAATGTCCTCCCCATAAAGAGAGACCAGCGACTTGAAATGAAAGGGGCCAGGCTGGGTTTTTCCCAAAGATACCTGAAGAGTAGGGCAGGAACTGTCTGCACTCAAAAAAAGATCTATTTAAAATAAAATTTCATAGTGTTCTTTGTATGGTAGTTACTTGATCCTCAGCTTGTGAGAGACCAAATCAGTTGAGCAACTGCCTGAAATGTCCCTCTTGAAGGGGCTACAACATTGCCAGAAATTCAGCAAGGAGAAAATTGTATTTACTGAAGCTCCTCTAAAAGAGAAAGCGTACTGACTGAAAACCATTTGGGAAGGAAAGATTGAGAGAGACCCTGAGGGTCAGGTCTTCCAAAAATGGTAAAACTGGTTAATCGTTGGACTTTTGATTTTCCGAATTGGGTATGAAGATGTGGGTTAGTGGTTAAATTACTCAGGGATCATCAAGGAAAGGTTAAGTGCTACTGCCACAAGTGTTTCTCTCTGCTCCCCAAACACATCACTTGCAAAGACATATCAGATGGAAGAGCACCACACTACTATCCTGCTTGTGGCGTTAGGTCTACTCCAGTCCTACTCATGAGAATATCTAGTCTTGGCTCAGCTGGACTACTGAAAATCAAGGGAAAGGAAACTTGTATCTTACTTGGATCAGTGTACTCATGAGGCCACTTGTGTTGGTCTCATCCAAGAAACAAACCTCAAAAGCAAGATGAATCTATGAGTCCAATCCCCCAAAGTCCTACCCCACAAGAGATTCTCCTCCATGTAGGGCCAACTTCAGAAAAGTTAGAGTTTGCTGCTACTAACTAGGAAGGTATCATTTCCTTTCAGGGTGGCATTGAGAATGCATGATGAAAGAGATCACAAGAAGAGGTAAGAGAACTTTGAAGATGGACAAAGACTATCACAGTTCAGAGGACCATCCCTGGACATAAACTTATTGGTTACAATGTGCTGTCATAATAAACATTCATAAAATAATAAAGGACAAATATTCCAGATATTCTTTTCTTTAAAGGTGAGCTTCTCCATGCAGCAGCAATAGAAGGAGGAAGAAAGCTGAAGAATGGCTCTTATTGTCTGTTTCTCCTCACCAATTGCATTCAGTTCCACTTTCTACTTTCTCCGCTGGCCCCACCATCAAAAAAGCACTGGATTTCAGATCCCTGGCTAGTTCTTCTCCTTTTGTACCAAAGCAGAGAGTATGTACGTAAAATTTCCAGGCCACAAACACTGTATTTGGGCTTCCAAAGTAGCCTACCTCATATAAATTTTTTATTCTATGATGGCTATCTCTCTTGTTCCTAAGCTCATCCCTGGACTAAAACATCATGACACTGTTAGAGCTTAAAGGGTCTTTAAAGAACACCTGACTTGCCAGAGAAAACCAAGTCTAAAAAGGAACAGTGATTTGTCCAAGATTCCACAGCTGTTTGCGGAAAGACACAGGTCTTTCTGTGTATTTACACAGGAGGACTGCTGCC